GGCGCTGGTACAATGACCTGTCATTGTTCAGGCGCTGGTACAATGATCTGTCATTGTTCAGGCGCTGGTACAATGACCTGTCATTGTTCAGGCGCTGGTACAATGATCTGTCATTGTTCAGGTGCTGGTACAATGATCTGTCATTGTTCAGGCGCTGGTACAATGACCTGTCATTGTTCAGGCGCTGGTACAATGACCTGTCATTGTTCAGACGCTGGTACAATGATCTGTCATTGTTCAGGCGCTGGTACAATGACCTGTCATTGTTCAGGCGCTGGTACAATGACCTGTCATTGTTCAGGCGCTGGTACAATGACCTGTCATTGTTCAGGCGCTGGTACAATGACCTGTCATTGTTCAGGCGCTGGTACAATGACCTGTCATGTTTCAGACGCTGGTACAATGACCTGTCAGTGTTCAGGCGCTGGTACAATGACCTGTCATTGTTCAGGCGCTGGTACAATGACCTGTCATTGTTGCTGGTCAGGCGCTGGTACAATGACCTGTCATTGTTCAGGCGCTGGTACAATGACCTGTCATTGTTCAGGCGCTGGTACAATGACCTGTCATTGTTCAGGCGCTGGTACAATGACCTGTCATTGTTCAGGCGCTGGTACAATGACCTGTCATTGTTCAGGCGCTGGTACAATGACCTGTCATTGTTCAGGCGCTGGTACAATGACCTGTCATTGTTCAGGCGCTGGTACCTGTCATTGTTCAGGCGCTGGTACAATGACCTGTCATTGTTCAGGCGCTGGTACAATGATCTGTCATTGTTCAGGCGCTGGTACAATGACCTGTCATTGTTCAGGCGCTGGTACAATGACCTGTCATTGTTCAGGCGCTGGTACAATGACCTGTCATTGTTCAGGCGCTGTTCATTGTTCAGCGCTGGTACAATGACCTGTCATTGTTCAGGCGCTGGTACAATGACCTGTCATTGTTCAGGCGCTGGTACAATGACCTGTCATTGTTCAGGCGCTGGTACAATGACCTGTCATTGTTCAGGCGCTGGTACAATGACCTGTCATTGTTCAGGCGCTGGTACAATGACCTGTCATTGTTCAGGCGCTGGTACAATGATGACAGGCTGTCATCTGTCATTGTTCAGGCGCTGGTACAATGACCTGTCATTGTTCAGGCGCTGGTACAATGACCTGTCATTGTTCAGGCGCTGGTACAATGACCTGTCATTGTTCAGGCGCTGGTACAATGACCTGTCATTGTTCAGGCGCTGGTACAATGACCTGTCATTGTTCAGGCGCTGGTACATTGTTCAGGCGCTGGTACAATGACCTGTCATTGTTCAGGCGCTGGTACAATGACCTGTCATTGTTCAGGCGCTGGTACAATGACCTGTCATTGTTCAGGCGCTGGTACAATGACCTGTCATTGTTCAGGCGCTGGTACAATGACCTGTCATTGTTCAGGCGCTGGTACAATGACCTGTCATTGTTCAGGCGCTGGTACATGACCTGTCACCTGTCATTGTTCAGGCGCTGGTACAATTCATTGTTCAGGCTGTACAATGACCTGTCATTGTTCAGGCGCTGGTACAATGACCTGTCATTGTTCAGGCGCTGGTACAATGACCTGTCATTGTTCAGGCGCTGGTACATGACCTGTCATTGTTCAGGCGCTGGTACAATGACCTGTCATTGTTCAGGCGCTGGTACAATGACCTGTCATTGTTCAGGCGCTGGTACAATGACCTGTCATTGTTCAGGCGCTGGTACAATGACCTGTCATTGTTCAGGCGCTGGTACAATGACCTGTAATTGTTCAGGCGCTGGTACAATGACCTGTCATTGTTCAGGCGCTGGTACAATGACCTGTCATTGTTCAGGCGCTGGTACAATGACTTGTAATTGTTCAGGCGCTGGTACAATGACCTGTCATTGTTCAGGCGCTGGTACAATGAATGTTCAGGCGCTGGTACAAAGTGTTCAGACGCTGGTACAATGACCTGTAAGTGTTCAGGCGCTGGTACAATGACCTGTCATTGTTCAGGCGCTGGTACAATGACCTGTAAGTGTTCAGACGATGGTACAATGACCTGTCATTGTTCAGGCGCTGGTACAATGACCTGTCATTGTTCAGGCGCTGGTACAATGACCTGTCATTGTTCAGACGCTGGTACAATGACCTGTAAGTGTTCAGACGCTGGTACAATGACCTTTAAGTGTTCAGGCGCTGGTACAATGACCTGTCATTGTTCAGGCGCTGGTACAATGACCTGTAAGTGTTCAGGCGCTGGTACAATGACCTGTAATTGTTCAGGTGCTGGTACAATGACCTGTACATTGTTCAGGCGCTGGTACAATGACCTGTAATTGTTCAGGCGCTGGTACAATGACCTGTAATTGTTCAGGCGCTGGTACAATGACCTGTCATTGTTCAGACGCTGGTACAATGACCTGTAAGTGTTCAGACGCTGGTACAATGACCTGTGTTCAGGCGACATGTTGGTACAATGACTGGGACATGTTCAACCGCTGGTACAATGACAAGTGTTGACCTGTACAATGACAGGGACATGTCAACCACCAGTACAATGAGACGCCGCTGGTACAATGACCTGTCATTGTTCAGGCGCTGGTACAATGACCTTTAAGTGTTCAGACGCTGGTACAATGACCTGTCATTGTTCAGACGCTGGTACAATGACCTGTAAGTGTTCAGACGCTGGTACAATGACCTGTCATTATTCAGGCGCTGGTACAATGACATGTCATTGTTCAGGCGCTGGTACAATGACCTGTCATTGTTCAGGCGCTGGTACAATGACCTGTCATTGTTCAGGCGCTGGTACAATGACCTGTAAGTGTTCAGACGCTGGTACAATGACCTGTCATTGTTCAGACGCTGGTACAATGACCTGTCATTGTTCAGACGCTGGTACAATGACCTTTAAGTGTTCAGACGCTGGTACAATGACCTTTGAGTGTTCAGGCGCTGGTACAATGACCTGTCATTGTTCAGGCGCTGGTACAATGACATGTAAGTTTTCAGGCGCTGGTACAATGACTGGGACATGTTCAACCACCGGTACAATGACTGGGACATGTTCAGCCACCGGTACAATGACAGGAACATGTTCAACCACCGGTACAATGACAGGGACATGTTCAACCACCGGTACAATGACAGGGACATGTTCAACCACCGGTACAATGACAGGGACATGTTCAGCCACCGGTACAATGACAGGGACATGTTCAACCACCGGTACAATGACAGGGACATGTTCAACCACCGGTACAATGACAGGGAAACACCTGAACAAGGCGTGCAAGTTGACAAATGGCCGTCAAGGCTGTCAACATATATAATGAAACTAAATAAATAAAGTCAATTACCTTCACAGACTATAACACTGAACAAGCCAGTGAACACTGAACACACCAGTGAACACTGAACAAGCCAGTGAACACTGAACACACCAGTGAACACTGAACAAGCCAGTGAATAACAAGCCAGTGAATACTGAACAAGCCAGTGATCACTGAACAAACCAGTGAATACTGAACAAGTCAGTGAACACTGAACACACACAGTGAACACTGAACAAGCTAGTGCTCACTGAACAAACCAGTGATCACTGAACAAGCCAGTGAACACTGAACAAGCCAGTGAATGCTGAACAAACCAGTGATCACTGAACAAGCCAGTGAACACTGAACAAGCCAGTGAATACTGAACAAGCCAGTGACCACTGAACAAGCCAGTGAACACTGAACACACCAGTGAACACTGAACAAGCCAGTGAACACTGAACAAGCCAGTGAATACTGAACAAGCCAGTGACCACTGAACAAGCCAGTGAATATTGAACAAACCAGTGAACACTGAACAAACCAGTGAATACTGAACAAACCAGTGAACACTGAACAAACCAGTGATCACTGAACAAGCCAGTGAACACTGAACAAGCCAGTGAATCCTGAACAAACCAGTGATCACTGAACAAGCCAGTGAACACTGAACAAGCCAGTGAACACTGAACAAGCCAGTGAACACTGAACAAACCAGTGAACACTGAACAAGCCAGTGAACACTGAACAAGCCAGTGAACACTGAACAAGCCAGTGAACACTGAACAAGCCAGTGAACACTGAACAAGCCAGTGAACACTGAACAAGCCAGTGAACACTGAACAAACCAGTGAACACTGAACAAGGTGGTATAACAAGAGAACAGTACACAACAGAACAGAAGAACAGCAGAACATGTCTGGATACAGCCATGACTAGTCTAGTCATTTTCAGTCAGAACGTGACATGCTGCCGCCGGATTTATTTCTATATTTTATTAATATTATTTTCTACCACAGACGTGGCCGGACATTTACAATGCTAACCAGAATATATATACATTTTCTTCTGTCCACCATGGACAGGGCGAGAGATGTGTTAAACATATAGTTCAGGGGTTTATTGAACAATCAACCACAGAAGGTGATTGTAGTGGTTTATAATGCTTTAATCTAATTTATATACATAGATATATAAATTTACGTCTGGCCTATATAAATGGTGGTGGAGGTAACTAAGATAACTAAGTTCTCAGTGTTCATAAGGGTTGTCATATGACGTGCCTAGTGGAACTACAAGCAAGAGCTGTTATCCTACTTCAGCTCATCTCTCTCTCTATCCCTCTCTCTGTCTCTCTCTCTGTCTGTATCTCTCTCTCTCTGTCTCTCTATATCTCTCTCTCTCTCTCTCCTCTCTCTCTCTCTCTCTCTCTCTCTCTCTCTCTCTCTCTCTCTCTCTCTCTCTCTCTCTCTCTCTCTCTCTCTCTATATCTATATCTATCTATCTATATCTCTCTCTCTCTATATCTCTCTCTCTCTGTCTCTCTCTCTCTGTCTGTATCTCTCTCTCTGTATCTCTCTCTGTCTGCTATCTCTCTCTCTCTCTCTCTCTCTCTCTCTCTCTCTCTCTCTCTCTCTCTCTGTCTCTCTCTCTCTCTCTCTGTCTCTGTCTCTCTCTCTCTCTCTCTCTCTCTCTCTCTCTCTCTCTCTCTCTCTCTCTCTCTCTCTCTCTCTCTCTCTCTCTCTCTCTATCTCTCTCTCTCTCTCTCTCTCTCTCTCTCTCTCTCTCTCTCTCTCTCTCTCTCTCTCTCTCTCTCTCTCTCTCTCTCTTCTCTCTCTCTCTCTTCTCTCTCTCTCTCTCTCTCTCTCTCTCTCTCTCTCTCTCTCTCTCTCTCTCTCTCTCTCTCTCTCTCTCTCTCTCTCTCTCTCTCTCTCTCTCTCTCTCTCTCTCTCTCTCTCTCTCTCTCTCTCTCTCTCTCTCTCTCTCTGTCTCTCTCTCTCTCTCTCTCGTCTCTGTCTCTCTCTCTCTCTCTCTCTCTCTCTCTCTCTCACTTAGTTGTTCATCTCTCTGTCTGTCCTTGGCATCTCCTGTCTCTGTCTGTCTCTGTCTCTGCTCTCTCTCTGTCTCTCTCTCTCTCTCTCTCATTAGTATGTCCATGACGGTGTGTTTCCTTGGCATGTCCGTGACGGTGTGTCCTTGGTATGTCCGTGACTTTGTGTCCTTGGTATGTCCGTGTCCCTGACGGTGTCCTTGGTATGTCCGTGACGGGTGTCTTGGTATATCCGTGACGGTGTGTCCTTGGTATATCCGTGACGGTGTGTCCTTGGTATGTCCGTGACGGTGTGTCCTTGGTATGTCCGTGACGGTGTCCTTGGATATGTCCGTGACGGTGTGTCCTTGGTATATCCGTGTGTCCTTGGTATGTCCCGTGACGGTGTGTCCTTGGCATGTCCGTGACGGTGTCCTTGGTATGTCCGTGACGGTGTCCTTGGTATGTCCGTGACGGTGTGTCCTTGGTATGTCCGTGACTGTGTGTCCTTGGTATGTCCGTGACGGTGTCCTTGGCATGTCCGTGACGGTGTGTCCTTGGCATGTCCGTGACGGTGTGTCCTTGGCATGTCCGTGACTGTGTGTCCTTGGTATGTCCGTGACGGTGTGTCCTTGGTATGTCCGTGACTGTGTGTCCTTGGTATGTCCGTGACGGTGTGTCCTTGGTATGTCCGTGACTGTGTGTTCTTGGTATGTCCGTGACGGCGTGGTGTTGGTATGTCCGTGACGGTGTCCTTGGCATGTCCGTGACTGTGTGTCCTTGGTATGTCCGTGACGGTATGTCCTTGACTGTGTGTTCTTGGTATGTCCGTGACGGCGTGTCCTGGGCATGTCCGTACCGGTGTGTCCTTGGTATGTCCGTGACGGTGTGTCCTTGGTATGTCCGTGACGGTGTCCTTGGTATGTACGTGACGGTGTCCTTGGTATGTACGTGACGGTGTGTCCTTGGTATGTCCGTGACGGTGTGTCCTTGGCATGTCCGTGACGGTGTGTCCTTGGTATATCCGTGACGGTGTGTCCTTGGCATGTCCGTGACGGTGTGTCCTTGGCATGTCCGTGACGGCGTGTCCTGGGCATGTCCGTGACGGTGTCCTTGGTATGTCCGTGACGGCGTGTCCTTGGCATGTCCGTGACGGCGCGTCCGGGAGAAGTGAGAAGAAGGTATGTAATGCAGACCTGGGCGTAGGAGGGAGGGAGGGTCGTGGAGGGCCTGGGGCAGGCGAGGGAGGGGTTCGTGGGGGGCATGGGGCATGTGGGGAGGGTGAGGGGGCATGGGGGAGGGTGTGGGGGGCATGGGGCATGTGGGGAGGGTGAGGGGGCATGGGGGAGGGTGTGGGGGGCACGGGGCAGGTGTGGGAGGGGTGGGGGGCACGGGGCAGGCGAGGCCACGGCAGTCACCGACCGCCGTATGAGGACAAAGAGTCATGCTCTCGACGTCGACTCCCCGACGTGACGGAATAGTTCAGTCTGCCCTAATACCCGCCTCCGGTCTCTCTCGTCACAGGTATTGTGATGGTGTATAGTGACGCGCTCTTGCTTATTCACGCTCGCACGCACGCACGCACTTGGACTGGATGGTAGAGCGACGGTCTCGCCTCATGCAGGTCGGCGTTCAATCCCCCCGAGACCGTCCACAAGTGGTTGGGCACCATTCCTTTCCCTCCGTCCCATCCCAAAGCCTTATCCTGACCCCCTTCCTGGGCTATATAGTCGTGATGGCTTGGCGCTTTGCCCTGACAGTCTCCCTTTACACACCTAACAGAGGCCTAACTGTTTGTAATCAACTGTTTGTTGATTACAAACAAGAAACAATTACACAATAGTGAAGAAAGAGCCAGAAATGAACTTTGAGAAAGGTAGAACAAATGTAAAATAGACTCAAACCTTTTCATTAAAACCATTAAAAGCAAGCTGAGTACAGAGGCTAAAACCCATAGATTGAGAACGGGGGAACACGACTACTGAGAATGAAATAGAAATGTGTGAAGTGCTAAATAAGTAGTTCCAAAGTGCATCTGTGCAAAATGAGTATTTCAGAGAGCCGGAGCAAACACCAATCCCAGAACACGCCCTAGAATACACAGAGGCATCTCAAACCCAA